CCACAGATGTGCGTTGTAAAGGTTGTGAAAGAACTTGTTCAAGCCAGAGAGAGCACTGTGGATGGCTTTCAAGTAGTGTATGCGTTCATGGTTCGGGTGATCCTCAATCACTCCACTGTACTTGTGTTCCAGGTAGCGCGCAGCTGCTGCTGTATCTGCACCCTTAACCCATGACCTTGATCATAGTATGCTCCAGGAAAATGTGGAAACATTTTTGGAACACCAATCATTTTTACATCCACGTAGACAATAGACATATATATCCAAAGTCTATATTCATGGCAAGGGGCCCTGTGGGGTAGTCCGTGCTTGCGTTGAAATTAAGCAAATTCCTGGTGAGATTGTTCATGTACAGCGGGATTCCTTTATCCTTGCAACAGGATCTATCCGGTGCAGCCTTGCCGGGATGTCACCATCGCCACCATCGAGCCCAAGGTCTGTCAAAACAACCTCATTCAGAACATCACCAGAATATGTTTCGTTGAGTTTGGGGGGGGCCTTATCACAAAGAAAACAGTTCATTGACCAAAAGTCGCAACATCACTTACTCCATGTGCACACTTTAAGTAAAAACCTTAGTTGGAGGAATCCTGAGTTGCGAATCCAGACCCCGTGAGCTCTGCACCAACCCCCTTGTGCACAGTGTGGAAAAGGTCCGGACGGTAAAACCATGTTTTCCCCCAAAGACTCGGTGATCTTGCCAATAGCTGTGTAAACAAAGTTTGCTGAGACCAGGGAGGTCGCGGGTCCGAAATGGATTCCGGGCACATCCACGATGCCTGATGGCATTGGTGCCAGTCCGGGTACTTCTCTGTACCCGTCATGCAAAGGTGACAGACACCTTTGCTCCGACTGAGGTTGGCGATGGCTTGATGATGCGTCCTGTTCAAGGCACCCAGCCGCTTTAAAATTGGCCAGTCGCCTTTGGTGTACAAGACAACTGGGTACAGCGTAGCCTCATCACCTCCATAAAGGACAGAAATGCAATCTTTGAACCCTGCGTCCAACTGCGTAGCAAGTTCATTGGCCAACTTGTCGAACACTTCCGGTTTCTTTGAGTACAGAGTTGAACGCGCGCAACTGAACACAAAGCGGGTGATGAGGCTACTGCCAGCCATGTTCGCTCCCATCTCAGACTCGGCTCCAGGTCTCTTCAGGCTCGCCAAAGTGCCTTTGCCAATCACGGGTTGGGTCGCCAAGACCATAAAAGACGTCTTCTTGTGCGACTGGCCTTCATCGGCGTCACACACATTGGCACACACCTGTTCAGGTGGCCTGCAAGAACAGTAAAAACTGGGTGGGACTTATCTTCCTCAGAGTAATTAACGGTGCCAAAACTCTTGGCAGGCCTTGAAGAGATCCAAACCACCTGTGAGAACATCAAGTTGCCCACACTGCCCCAGCATCCTGAGAAAGTCTTGTATGTTGAGAACTGGATGGTCATTCTCAGATCCAACATCGATGTAGGATATTTTCACGTCTGCTTGAAGGTGTTCATCCTCCAACAATTTGGCTGAGCTTTCATTCTTTGACTTTCTCAGGCGTTTCATGTGCTGAAGCAGCTTGGCGCTCTTGAGCTTGAACGATTTTGAGGCGCCAACTGCTTGCTCATGTTCTTCCAAGATGGAAGTTGCCAACATACAGGTAATCCGGTCTGGAATCTGGAACCTGAGCAAGCCATTTGCACCCTTGATATCGCTATATTTATTTCGCTTGATCACTATACCGTGACCAACGCCTGTGTATCAAACGATGCCCTAGATACACACGCTAAATAACTGGATATGATGATATGTAAGTACCTTCGCAACTTCAATTGAGAACGCCAGAGCTCACAGCTGTAGAAACTGCGGCTGCCACCGAGCTCAAACCGGCAGGTTTGGAAGAAGAACTTGATGAAGCGACGCCTGAAGGCCGGACAGTGGCAAAGAGTTGGGGTCTCAAGAACCTTGCGCGCGCTGGAACTGCAGACTTGCAAGAGTTCAGGGTTGGGTCCTTTTTTGTCGGTTCGCCCTCGAAGCACAATGTTTAGCTAGTTTCAGCCCACACCGATGATCAGCATCGGTATCTAAATGGAAGTGCCACAGCAGGATATATCATCTGCTCAGTGATCCATCAACACTTGAGATCTTACAATTGAGGGACACAACACCCGTCAGGACACTTCACAATTAACCCCAGAACCCAGATCCAGTCAAAGCTCACTTCTTATCCTTCGACTTACCGGTCACACGTCGCTGGACTGCAGGATCGGCAGCGTCGTCATCCTTCGCCTTGGCCTTCGCCTTGGACTTGGGCATCTTACCAGAGGGCTTCACGCCCTTCAGGATGGTCCTGCGTGGGACAGGGTGCGCGCGCGCACGACAGAGTTGAATGAGTTCTGTGTACTTGGGGTTGTAAGTTCTTTGCGCTGGAACCTTGTTCATTGACACAAACTCTCAGGTCAAGGCTTCTTGACCTTGTTGGCTTCGACAGCGGCTCGACCCACCCTCAGGCAAGTTGGAAGAGTCGGGCCGTTTTATATTTTGTGACCAGTCGTTCGCCCTGTGGCTACGACGATTTCTCAACTTCGATGAACTTGCCACTCAACTTCTTCATGG